AGAATAGAGGTGTGAGTTTGAGTAATACGCTAAGCCCAGTCAGCATGGTCTGACAAACTGCCATAGATAGATACAACTGCAGGTTGCATGGCAGGGCCTGTCAAGGCAAACAGATCCTTAAGGAAGACCAAAAACCTCTTTCCTACTGGACGTTTGAACATGGATATATCAACCACACGGACCAGAACTACCAAAAAAATAACACACTTCTGAGTTAAAAATTTACCTCAATGGGATACTGCTGGACAAAGGGGGCAAAGCCCTTGAAACTTGTAGCGGCCAGCCCATTTCTGATGTCACTCCTGTCATCATGAAACTTATTCTGTACCCATGCATACTGCCAGCTCTCCCTCCCATTGGTGGGATTCCTGGCCCTCACACAGCCTGCTGTTTGATCAGTCCCACTGTGGATTTTGACATACTGCTAATTCTAGGCTAACATTCATGCTTGATTTGTAAAGCCAGTTACCACCGTATGGACTATGGACATTGGCTCACAGTTTCTGGAGCGCTGAGTAAGCTGTATATGCCAGTGACCTATACATCCTCTTGTAATTGTATTATTGGGCAAAATGTTTAGGAGAAGAAAAAAATAAAAATCTTCTGTGGATGTTGCCAGTGTCCATATAGGACAGACGCAACCAGTAAAGGAACCAGACAGGTTTTATCTGGTATAGGAAATTTTAGGAACCCCATATATTAGAAACTACAGAGTGATTAGACTCAGGCTGCACTAATACTAAACAAGGGTGTACAGCTTCACTCAGTGTAGCAATAGTCTCCTTAAAGCAGAAGTTCGCCATTCGTCAGTAGACCAGAATAACGTGAACTGCTCCAGCAGCCCCTCAAATATCCCCGACGGCTGCGGGAACCCATTCACAGAGCGGCTGGAGGGCACAGCCTCATGTGTCACTGGAGCCTGGCCTTCCTGGGCCCAGAAGAAGCATCTGGCTGAGGAGGACCAAGATAATGGCAGCACAGAAAGCTGAACAGAGAATCACTATTGGACATCACTGGATCCACTGGGCAGGTGAATGTGTATTTTCATGACAACACAGCATAACAGTTATGGGGTGATTGAGGGGAGATAAAGAAGAAGGAGGAGACTGAAGCTGCTAAGTTTTGTACAGATTTCTGTACATGAACTGGCACTGGCAGAAAATCCTTATCTAGATAGTAAGATAGGAAGAATGAGGCAGGTGCAGCCAAAACACTGGCTGAATGACCAGAGTAAATCAGAGAGTCAAAACTGGGGCATCAGAGGAAAGTACTAGGCCCCTGAACCGATGTTCTACAACCCCCAACAGAGCTAAAGACTGAGCCTGAACTACTGGACCCATCTGACCGCTTATCTAATAAATTACGGTTTCCCATGTGTGTCAATAGAATGTCCCCAGTGAGGTACTCATGACTTCTACAGCTGTAGTGCAAGGGGGATGCCTCAGTGCAATCACCTGTGGGCTGCCATAACTCAGCGTTATGTGTGCCTATACGTTTGCCCCCATAGCGAACAGCTTGCTATGGAGGCACAGACAGAATCGTCACTCTGCTCAAAAGCTATAGCTGCTTAATAATCCTTCACGTCAGACACTATTCTGGGTATGTTGGATTCTTGGTCCCTCATTGTACACTGTAATATCATCTCCAGCCCATACATCTTTACGGGACACAGTAGTAACATAGGGACTGGAGGAAGAATAGAAAATATGGTAGTGTGACAAGAGCAACACCACCCAAGTAAAAAGTGGTTACTTAAAGATCCACGCGGAGTAATGTAAATTCAGACCCAGTTCTGACGAAGTCCACGGTGATTGGCGGACTAAACGTGTCAACGTAATGACGTCACTACGCTCAGCGTCTTCATAGGGTGTGATGCCCACGAGGAGGGAAGGAGCGGCGTTGTTCCAGCTCCATGCTAGAAAGGCATGAGGCTTTGAAAAGACTACCATAAGGCTACTATTCCAGCAGTCCGCACATAGCAATTCTAAGTCAGAGCATACTTCCACCGGTGGCAAGTTATTTTTGCTTATTTGGCTCGGTTAGCGGTTAGCCGCTGTTTAGATTTATAGAGCCTATATGGAGTTTATATTGAATGCTATATGTGCCTAGTACCCCTGTTTTTCAGGGAATTTTTTGGAACTCCTCTCTAGAGGAATATATTTATTTCATGTCACATACGTGCTGTACGCTGTGATGTAGCCATATCCTTAAGGAACCGTTTCACTCTCTCAGTTTGAGCAATTTTTGGAAACCCTTCATTGGGTATATAGACTCAGGTATACAGTGCCTGCTATATATATATATATATATATATATATATATATATATATATATATATATATATATATATTATATATATATATATATATACACACACACTCTTTTTGGAATTTATATACTGAGACTACCTGGCTTCCCACTCATATACTCACTGTTGAAAAGCAGAAAGGACCTGATCTTATTTCAAGTCGACGTGAAGTCCTCTTGATCTTCATTGATGAATCACCTGTTATTGTGGACTTTGTTTCACTTGGGGTGGTTACCCAGGAAGTCTCTACATTCACCATGCTGGTATGACAGCCAAGCTATTGAGAAGGAAGTTACTCTACTTATGCTGGTATATACCAAAGAATACTTCTGGAGAATGTATGGCTAATCTAAATACAAGATTGAATCATATGGAAATCTAGGATCATATAGCTAGGAAATCCCATTGCCTTATATGGTTCCCTATGTGCCAAGAATCACCCAGAAATGAGGACGCCAAGTGCTTTTAAATGATTTTATTTGTTTGATATGTTCACCGTGCTTCTGTTTAACCTCCCTATGATCTATGTGATCAAATAAAGTACTCTTTGTAACTACTGAATTTACATTACTCCGCGTGGATCTTTAAGTAACCACTTTTTTCTTGGGTGGTGTTGCTCTTGTCACACTACCATATTTTCTATTATGCATTCCCAGTTTATAAATCCACACTTTTACGATAAGTGAGTCGGAGATAGTATTAGGACACAAATTATTTGTGTTTTTACAGGTGGCTTTTCTCTTTTTTATTTTCCTGACTGGAGGAAGAACCACAGATCACAGTGGGGGACAAGAAATTCCACACTCCCAGAAATGTTGGATGTGATTATTCTTCAGGTGGGCTGTAACACCTAAACAGAGTGAAGATTTTTAGGAACAAGCAGCAGGACAGGTGAGTATAAACAATCTTCCTTAACAAGGATTTTTTTCCCCCTGTATCTGTAGCAGAGACTGTAGCAAAGTCAGTTTATCAGCCTGGATGGTCAAAGTGGTAGGGGTGTGTAAGCCTCAAACTTCTTTGGTGGGTTGGACAGCACCCTTACTGTGTATTTATCTGTTTGTTCATCTCTAAAGGCATTATAAACCGTCCTACCTGCACTCGCATAAGATGTGTATTGATCATGTATTTTCTTGCTGTCATTTGTTGCCCTGTACTAAAAGCCTATAGTAGAGTAAATCTTCACATTCCTGTGTCTGAAGTTTCAATTTGTGTTCAAATGTGAGGCAAGCGGCATGACACTGCACAGGCTAACGCAAGACCTCTTGTCTGTAGTTTGAGAACTAACATTTCCTGTTAAGAAGCTACATATCCCACAATCTCTGAGTCTCTCAGTTTAGTGCTATGCAAGTGAAAGCTAAACAGTAGTTAGATCTGAAACATACACAAGTAGGCAAAACAATTAACAGTGAGCTCACTATGCTGGAAGAGATGTGTTTCATCACATTAGCATGCCCACCTTTGAGATGCAACACAAGAAATTATTATTATACAGGATTTTATATAGCACCAACAGTTTGCTCAGCGCTTTGCAATATAAAGGGAGACAATACAGCAACGATACAGTTCAATACAAAGAGGGTTAGGAGGGCCCTGCTCCTTGGAGCTTACAATCTAGGAGATGGCTAGTAATGCACTGGATGTTGTGTGACCTGGAACAAGAAGTTACCCATCCCTAGGGACAAGCTAGGTGAAGCAATACATTGACATTAGGGAATCAATCAGCCATGACACAAAGCTGCAGCCACAATGTGAGACTATCATTACAGGGTAAAGCAAACAAATAACACAAGGAAAATAACTACACTAACACCTAGTTAAAACAACAAAACATCTGAAAGTATTCAATGACTTCAAATGAGCAAATCTCCTGTAAAGAATTACCAATATCGTCTTTAGAAGAAACTAGTAAATAAAACCTAATATAATATAGCTAAATCCATGCTGGTTTTTATTATCTTTACAAAAGTCAGCACAGCTGGAAAACATTGGCTTACTGATAAAACAAGAAGTTCATCTCAAGGTTTACAGATGCCTCAAGATTTGTATGTCTTAAACGCTTCTACATTTTTTTTTTCCTGCATAGTCCCTTAAACAGGCCATAGGCTATTTCCCAGCCAATGCAATAATCTTTGAATGTAGGAGTATCAAGGATTTAAAGAAACAATTGAGTACTGACGTGATACTTTTTTTATTTGCACTAACATACAATTTTGAGAACAAGCTTTCAGGGTATGTCCCCTTCTTCAAGGTCCAAGCAGTACTATTACAAAGTTTTAGCAGAATGTTAGAAGAGATGTGGGGGATGAGAAAAAAAAAAAAAAAAAAAAAAAGCAGATAGAAACACAAGCCTAGGGTTAGCCAAGTGCACTAATACGGTTACAATCACTTCAAGCAAGGATTTAAAGAGAATCTGTCGCTTGGCCATTCGAGTTTCCCTCATAAAAGGGCAACTCCCAGGTTCCCCATCCTTTGATATGAAAACTGTCACATGAGGAAGAACACATTAACTTTGTGAAGATGCATAGTGAGAGATTCTCTTTAACCGCCTCCCGCCCGCCATATAGTAATATGACGGACGCAAGGCGGTTCTCTCGTTCTCGCAATCGGCGGTGCGCTGTGTCCCTCGGACACAGCGGATCACCGATCTACGGAAAGAGCTGAAGATGTCGGCTCGGTCATGTGATCAGCTGTGTCCAATCACAGCTGATCACATGTAAACAGGGAAATGCCGGTTATCGGCATTTCTCCCCTCACGAGCTGTCACGCTGACAGCTCGTGAGGAGAGGAGAGCCGGTAATCGGCATTCCTCGGAGGGGACATCTACACAGATCATCAGAGCACTGATGATCAGTGTGCCCTGATGATCTGTGTAGCCCCAGCAGCGCCACCTGTCAGTGTCCATCAGTGCCAGTTCTGTGCTCATCCATGCCACCTGCCAGTGCCCATCAGTGCCACATTTCAGTGCCCATCAGTGCCACATATCAGTGCCCATCTGAGCTGCTTTTCAGTGTCACCCATCAGTGCCAGTCAGTGCCACCTATCAGTTCTACCAGTCAGTGCTGCCTATCAGTGCCACCTATCAGTGCCATATATGAGTGCTGCCTTTCAGTGCCCATCAGTAATGCCTGTCAATGCCCATCAGTGCCACCTACCAGTGCCTCCTCATCAGTGCCCATCAGTGCCACCTATCAGTGCCCATCAGTGCAGCCTCATTAGCGCACATCAGTGAAGGAGAAAAATCACTTATTTACAAAACTTTTATAACAAAAACTAAGAACAAACGTTTTTTTTTTTCAAAATTTTCAGTGGTTTTTGGTTTGTTTAAGAAAAAATAAACCCAGAGGCGATTAAATACCACCAAAATAAAGCTCTGTCACAAAAAAATGATAAAAATTTCATATGGGTACAGTGTTGCATGACCGCGCAATTGTCAAAGTGCAACAGCGCTGAAAGCTGGAAATTGGCCTGGGCAGGAAGGGGGTATAAGTGCCCTGTAGGCTAGCGGTTAGGAACATATTTTTTGGAGAAGCATCATTTTAAACATACATCTTTCAGCATGAGAGATATATTTATTACACACATATGACTGTAGCCTTATCAGTGGGGGAGAGAAGACAGAGGCAATACTTCCTACTGTCTAAAGCAAACTGATTATATCAATGTAATCCTTGGCAGAAACTCAGGGCTGATAAAATGACAAAAAGGTATAGCTTACTGTAGCATGTAAGGAATGTTAGTGAAGATTCGGTTTTACTCAATTCAGCAGACACACCTCTTTATGCCTTCAAGCTTGTGATTGGATGAAGAAAAAGCAGAAGTGGACTGATGAGGTCATCCGTTTTTAGCCTTGTCAGTACAAGTGCATGCAGCAGAACCTGATGGCCTCAGAGCACTAACTTTCTGACTACCAGTTTCAGTTTTTTGTGTGGGGAAAATTGGAGGCCAATCGAAATGAAGAGTCGAGTATATAAACTAGTATTTTTTGTACTTTTTAAAAAATCCCTACTAATATATATACACCTATCTGCATTAACCTCTTCACGTCTAGCGTACGCAAATATGTGGCCTCTCAGTGGCTGGGGCTTGATGCCAAGCGGCCACATATTTGGGTATCATTTGTAAACAAACGTGCTGAGAGCGTGCACCCTGCGCACTCCCATCACGTGTGTTGGCATCCCACGGAAAGGTCCCGACCTCTCCTTGAAAGTGGGACCTTGCCGATCATGTGACTGCCCCGACAGCCAATCACGACGGTCACATGACCCTAAACCCCGCCCTGCCTCCCGGCATCAGAAAACCCTTAAAGGGCCGGGAGGCGCCGGCATGAAGGGGTTAAACAGTGTTGTATACCAATCAGCTAATATTATACAATAACATCATGACCACCAACAGGTGAAGCGAATAACATTACCTATCTCCTTAAAAAGCACCTGAAATTAGGTAGGATTATATAAGGCAGCAAGTGAACCACCAAGAGTGGTCCAAGGAAGGAAAACCAGCTACGGCCAAGGCTCATAGATGCATGCGTTGAGCAAAGGCTGGCCTAGATAATCAAATCCACTAGAAGAGCTACTATAGCTCAAATGGCTGAAAAAGTTAACACTGGTTTGGACTGAAAGTGTCAGAACACACAGTGCATCACAGATTGTTGCATACGAGGCTGCATAACCACGGACCAGTCAGGGTGCCCATGCTGACCTGTGTTCAGAGAGAAAAGCACCTACAATGGGAACATTACCATCAGAACTGACCACACAGCAATGGAAAAAGGCAGCCTGGTTAGATGATGTCAAGAATGGTTTAAGCAACACAATGAGTTCAAGGTGTTCACTTGGCTTCCAAATTCTCCAAATCTCTATCCAATCGAGCATCCATGGGAAGTGAAGGGAAAAAAGTCAAGACTCATGGACACCCCACCTCTCATCTCACAGGACTCTGGAACTGAAGGCTTGGTGCCAGATACCACCGCATACCTTCAGAGGTCCAATGGAGTACATGCCACACCAGGTTATAGTGGGTGGTCATAATGTTATGGGCTGATCATTATATATCTGCCTTCAAACATGAACAGAGCAATGTGGAAAAGGCACTTTCATATGACATGCATGTAATGGGCAAACATAAGACAGATCTGTTCACAAATAATAAAAGGTCTATATATATATATATATATATATAAAAAATTAAAAAAAAAAATAAATATATATATATATATATATATATATATATATATATATATATATATATATAGCAACCAAACTTTTTTATTCCATATAAAAAAAAACACAACATACTATGAAAGCCCTAGGGGCATATCAGCAGGTTTTGTTTTAAGTGTTGTCCCGTTTTTTTTTGTTTTTTTTTTGTTTTAACAAATTCTGTAACCTTTCCCATAGGCTTACTACTAAATTTCTTCTGCATAAAGAAAATTAATGAACCTTTATCTGCAAACCCATACCCCAAAAACAGATTATAGTAAAATGACTAACTTTGTTTAAAAGTAAACAGCAAGTGCTCCATAACAAAATCAGTAATAAGAGGTCCATGCTGCAGCTTCAGATTTCACATAAAGGTAAATGCCATTGACCTGTCCATTGTCACAAGGATCCAAGTAGTGCAGCCAGAAACATTTCAATGCAATAAACAAGCTGAATTAGCACACAATCAACAGGAAGAGCTGCTTGAAACACAATAATCTGGCCAGGAGCTCATACAGGGGCAAGACGGCAACGGAAGGAAAGGGGGGACTCCTGTACATCGTTCATTACCTACCCAATGCAAGCTACAGATATCTAATTTAACACTTAGACTGCTGACAGCCAAAAGCTGCCTTCCAAACTATTCTTATGCAACCTTAGGCAAAGGTGCAACTTCTAGTTTTCCTGAGAATGACATAATTATTCAGCTTTATATTACAAGCTACACAATTCTAGTTGCTATGAGCCTTTTCTCTGGGTAAATGCATCTATCTCCTATCTCCGCTCTTAACTAGAAAAACGCATTGACTCCTGCTGCCTTTTCTCTGGGTAAATGCAACTATCTCCGCTCTTAACTAGAAAAACGCCATGACTCCTGCTGCCTTTTCTCTGTGTAAATGCATCTATCTCCGCTCTTAACTAGAAAAACGCATTGACTCCTGCTGCCTTTTCTCTGGGTAGATGCATCTATCTCCATCTCCGCTCTTAACTAGAAAAACGCATTGACTCCTGTTAAATTAAGAACAAATGGTGTATTTATATTTGTGTATATGTTGACCAGTCCTCACCTCTAGCTGCACTCAGGTTTACGACTGTAGCCTGTTCCAATGAAACATCCCCCCACTATTCATGTGATCCTTATCAGCTTCTAAATTGGGGTGCAGTTAAATGCTCATTTGAGCATCTCCCTATAAATTTAGATCAGCTCATGGGGGGAGATCACTGATGGGGACACAGTCTCTGATGGGGGTGCTGCTTTTGATTGAGTGCTGCATTGAAGGAGTGCGAAGCAGTTAAACACAGCAGTGCTGCGTTGAAGGAGTGCGAAGCAGTTAAACACAGCAGTGCTGCGTTGAAGGAGTGCGAAGCAGTTAAACAAAGCAGTTGAACTAAAGCAGGAGAACTTAAGCAGCAGGAAGACACAACAACAGCAAGAAACTCTACTGCACGCTGGACAGACTGCAAGCATACACCCTGGGAAACCTCTCTTACATACCTGAGTCCCACTCCGTGTACCTTTATATAATACGCCCCCTCTTCTCCTTATCATATTACTATCCTCTGTTCCCAAATCTCATTTCTTTACCTCTCTGCTCCACCCCAAAACCTGTACATCTCCCCTTCATTGCTATCATCTCCCTACTATTGCTCTCATCACCTCCCCAAAATGCCTCTTCCACTCCTCCTTCCCAAAATCCATTCACTATATCCCTCTGCCCCTCCCAAACAATTGTATATTGTGTCCTCGCTGCTTCCTTCGCCCCTCTACGGCACCCACCACCTCCTCCTATTACTCCACTCTCCCACTGACCCGAACACCTCCACTAGTAATTTCTCACATTCCTGCACATCCCGCTCCCATGCCACCTTTCTCACCATTCTCCTCCTCCTAACCACGGGGGGACATCTCCCCAAATCCTGGCCCCTCCCTCACCTGCACAACACCCTCCCTCCTCCACATCCCGCCGCAACCCCCGCAACTTGGTATCTGTCCCCCTGCTCCCTAAAATCTCCCCCCCCCCCCCCGTTTTCATGTGCACTCCTGAACGCCCGATCGGTGTGCAACAAGCTTACCGCCATCTATGACCTCTTTGTTTCCCGCTCCCTCAACCTCCTGGCCATTACGGAAACCTGGATCCAGGCCACTGACTCTACCTCTCCTGCTGCACTCTCCTACGAAGGTCTCACCTGGACCCACTCACCCAGGCCTAACGGTCGTAAAGGCGGTGGGGTTGGTCTGCTCCTGTCACCGCAGAGCACCTTCCGAGTCCTCCCAAACCCCCCCCCCCTCCCTATCCTTCTCCTCCTTCGAGGCCCACTGCGTCAGACTATTCTCCCCAACCCCCCTGAAGATTGCTGTGATATACCGGCCTCCTGGATCCATATCCCGCTTCCTGGATGACTCTTCCTCCTGGCTACCCTTCTTCCTCTCCTCTGAGCTACCCATCATCATCCTTGGGGACTTCAACATCCCTGTCAACCTCGACAACCCGGACACATCCCATCTCCTCCACTTAACCTCCTCCTTTGCACTTGCACAGTGCATACAATCCACCACCCACTCCAACGGTAATATCCTTGATCTTGTCTTCTCCAACCGCTGCGCTCCCCACAACCTCACTAACACCCCCTTCCCTCTCTCTGACCACAACCTGATTACCTTCTCTATCTCCTCGTCCTCCAACGCCTATCCCTCCAAATGTCACACTACTACCAGCCGTAACCTCCGCAACCTTAACCCTGCTCCCCTCCACTCTGCAGCTGATCAACTCCATGACAGCATCCTCCCCCTGTCCTGCCCCGACTTGGCTATGACTGCCTACAACAACGCGCTGTCAACAGCCCTTGACTCACTAGCGCCTCTAACCACACGCAACATCAGACCCCGACCGCTCCAGCCCTGGCAGACTGATCACACCAAAACCCTCAAACGACACAGTCGTGCCCTGGAGCGACTATGGCGCAAAACCAAATCCCAACAAGCCTTCACCTGCTACAAATCTGCCTTCCACACCTACACCTCCTCCCTCCATGCAGTCAAACAAGCATACTTCCTGACCCTCATCAAGGCCCTCTCCTCCAATCCTCGCCGACTCTTCTCCACCTTCAACTCTTTACTCTCACCACCCCCACCTCCACCCAGCACCTCACTCA